CTGATCATACACTTTGATTTCATCAATACTCTCCCTACTATCATTTAACCATGTGCATTGTGTCTTCTCTAATTCTCATGACATAAAAACCATGCATTATTATTGATTGACTTACGACTTGCGGCCTCTTTTTCTGGCATATATACATACTTCTCAAACTAATATACACTGTGAATTTAACATTACATGTATTGCACTGACATACCACAATTACTACGTACAATACTGCATTAACTACTACTATTTCTGTGGTGGGATGTTTTTTGGAGGAAAAGTTGGCAGTTTATCCACCCTCAACCACAGGGCTTTTCTGTTACTTGCTATAGGCCTATAGCTTCCCACCATCCTTATAATAACGCCGTTTTCTTAATATCGAGTACTTTCTTTGTTTCTAAAAAGTATTTACAGTCTTTTCTTCTTAAGGGGTAAATTCTGTAAATTTTTAGTAGCACGTATACAAAGGAAAATATATTCATGTCACATTTGAAAAGAAAAAAAAAAATTATAAGAGGCTATAAATAGATCAAAGCAATTTTTAGTAACTTTAGACCGTTAACATGACTAAATTAAACTCCATAGTCTTGTTTAATCTGCTCACCCTATATTCACTAATTTAAAGAAGAAAAAAAATTCAGATAATATAAGTTCGAACAAAATAAGGGTTTGTTCTCTTACGTTGAAATTCAGTTCAACTCAGCTCAGTACTGTTCAGTTCAGTTCAGCTCCTAATTTCCTTCTCTTATAAAATATTCATTTCAGTTCAGTTCAGTTCAATTCAATTCAGCTTAGCTTAGCTTAGCTCAGCTTAGCTCAGCTCAGCTCAGCTCAGTTCAGTCAATGAGAACAGGCCCTAAGTTTTAATTTGGCTCAATTACGATTACCCAAGTTACTTACAGCAAGTTTAGAAACAGGTGGATAAAAAAAAATAAAAAAAATAAAAAAAAAAACAACCTAATCAATAGAAAATAAGCAGTGATTCTATTGTAATAGTAAAAGTTACTCTGTGCTCCATAAAACCATAACTTAACATATAAAATTTATTTTAAACCATTACATTATAAATCTAAAAATATTTATATATATGCCACTTCACTAGATTTAAAATATTACTAAAAAAAATAGTTATTAATCATAATTATACCAAGGTACGTAATAGTCTCCTTAAAATTGAGAAGATCTTCTTCAAAAAGTGTTAGCTAAATCTCAAAGGTTTGTTTGGTGATGTTTCTCTAAGGATAACAAAGCCCTTAGCTTGTCGTGCATGAGAGACAATCATCCTCTTGGAGATATGCATGCACGCAAAGGTAGTTACTCTCTCATGGAGCATGTAGTGTATTTATGATCCAAGACACGGCTTTTATCACACAATTTTTGTACTCCTTATTAGGGATGTCCTCCCATGCATATTGGTGGGGCTCTAGCTAATGAGATGTATTGAACCCACACACCACAAATTAGGTCAAGATACCATAAAGATTGCTTTCGTTATCTAATCTCTTGATCAACTAGTTCATCATCATCTACATTCAAGACAGTTATATCATTCCTTTATTTTTTGCAATAAATGTCTACTCGTATTCACATTCATATGTCCGATATTGTTCAAGAAAAGGTTAAAGTACGAAGTATTAGACTATGAATTGTGTTAGGACGTGGGTCAAGGCCCACAACAGGTGGTAGCACATAAATTAAAGGATTTTTCATTCAAAAACTATATGGTAATAGGAGGTGTAGCTCACATGCCTTATATTCAAGTCATCTTTCTTACCAATCTTTGATGTGAGATAATATTCCTTCAAAAAAAACACATGAGAAATTTGCAACACCAAGGAAAAAAAAAAAAATTTGATTTCCAATATTTAACTTATTAGGCATGTTACTATACTTGGCAGTTATTCCCCTTGGCTTCCAAATTGAATTACTTTTTTCAATCATTTAATCTTCACACAAAAATTAAAAAATATTGCATTCCCAAATAATTGTCTTACTCTATATCTTAATACTTGATTCTCAAATAAATGTCTTATTTGACATTTTTCTACCAATTTATTAATTTTGTATCAGCCAAACTTTACTATTTTCCTTTATTTCACTTTTAATCAATCAATCAATAAATCCACTATCTTGCTTTTCATATTGACCTTTAACAAATCAAACTTCACTCGTGATTTTATATTATAATTATACACTACAGAATAATGAAAATTGAAAATAAACAAAGGTATGGGATAGTCTCTTCAAATTAATTGGGATTATCCAAAGGTTGTTTGTATGTATACCATATAAAATCAACTTCTTAAAGACATGCATGCATACATGCACGCAAAGGTATTACTCTCATATTTTGTATTTATGATCAAAGACTCGGCTTTTTGGTCTCACATATTTAGCACAACTCTAAGTAATGTCCTCCCTTGCGGCCATGCGTCTTGGTGGGGCTTTCATTAGATTCATCCCACAATTAGGTCAAGTATTCCATAAAGATTAATTTATCATAAAAAAATATCTTGATCCCTTAGTTCATCGATCTCTATCTACATTCAAGATATTGCAAAACCTATTCTAGCAATAAATGTAGATTCATTTTCATATATATTCATATATTCGATATCATCGATGAATGATTCAATTATCAATCTACCTGCGACATTTTGATTTAAAATAAGTGATAGCGACAAATATACCTAAATGTTTACTTGAAAAGATGAATTACTATGATTGGTGATTTTTTATTTTTAAATATTTTTCAATCATCTTATGCTTATTAACATAAACTACCTAGTAGGTAAAAAAAAAATGAAAACTACCTAAATCAAAAGTAAACCTATGGAAGGATTTTCAAAAGTGGAGTAATCAAATGATTATATAGTTAAGAATTCCATATTATGATATTTTAAGAAAATGTAATTCATTTATATAGCAAAAAATAGTCTACTAAAAATTGCTAAGCACAATACATGAGATAATTATGTTTCTTTTAATTTAAGTTAATTAATCACCTCTACTTAATAGGATTAAATGTATGTAGTAATGCAAAATGTATCTAGGAATTAACTAAGCTCCTTTACTTAATAGGACTAATTCAGTAATTCATCAGCCATCAATTGATTTCTAAATATTATTCAAGCTTCCATAAAATATAAAATGGATAATCTATAATGTCCGTTACATGCAAATGTATCATGCACACAATACATTCACAATCAATATTTGTTCGATTCGAGTCTCAAATGAATTAATATACAAAATAATAATCTTGAATGTGAAGTTCATGCAGGTATACCTACAATAGTAATTAACCTAGACCTTAAAGTTTATAGGATATGAGATCGTCTCTTAAAATTTATGGGGTACATCTTTATTGGTGGATATATTTTGGGAAATTATTAGCAATCTTGAATCTTAAGGGTTTGTTTGTATATACAACAATTAACTTGTTAAAGATATGCATGCATGCATGCAAAGGTAGTAGTCTCTCATACTTCGAATTTATGATCAAAGACTCGGCTCTTTATTAACTCCCTAAGTGATGTCCTCCATTGCGACCATGCATTGTGGTGGGGCTCCAATTAGATTCAACCCGCATAGCTCAAATTAGGTCAAGTATTCCATAAAGATTACTTTCTTCATAAAAAAATATCTTGATCTCTTAGTTCATCAATCTCTATCTACATTCAAGATATGTAAAACCAATTCTAGCAATAAATGTCTATTCATATTCATATTTTCGACATCATTCGATGAACGATTGAATTATCAATCTACCTGCGACATTTTAATTTTTAAATAAGTGATGGCGACTGATATACCTAAGTGTTAACTTGAAAAGGGGTGTTACTATGATTGATCAGTTTTCCCTCTCCCAATCATCTTATAGTCTACAAAAACTACCTATTCGGTCATTTAAAAAAAAAAAAAAAAAAAAAAAAAAAAAAAAACCTATAGCAATACATAAACCTTTGGATGGATTTTCAAAAGTGGAGAAATTTAAAGATAATGTAGTTATTTATTCCTTATTTTGATTGTAAGAAACTATAAGTACATTTTTGCACCAAAAAAAAATCGTCAACAATAAATGCAATTGTAAGAAACTATAAGTACATTTTTGCACCCAAAAAAAATCGTCAACAATAAATGCAAAATGTCTCTAGAAAATAAACTCCTTTAATTAATTTTACAAATTTGGTAATTTAGCCATCAATGATTTCTTGTTACTCTCCCTGTTTCATAATATTGGTTTCATTTAGAATTTTTTGTCTATTAAAAATGAGAGAAAATCTGCGACATTTCTCTCTAGTGTCTATATATATAAGAACAAACATAAATAGTCTTATGAAATCAAATTTAATTTGTCTTGAAAAATAGATTATTATATCTAATTTTTACGAATTTTTCTATCACGAAATTAAAATATTTGCAATTGAAGATTTTCATCGATATATTTGAATGAAATTAACATTATAAAACGGAAGGAGCACCGATCAAACTCTATTGAAACTACCTTTGAAGAATTTAATCAAAAATTTTGTGGATACACAATTGCATTTGTTATAGGATCTTAATCAGCCTGTATAAGGAAATTGGGCCGAAATGACCCATCACATAAAAAGGACAGTGACACTGTGTAACTCTATGAATGTGAAGGAATTGGGCCCAAAGCGAATGCTAATTTTCAATAAAGTAAAAAGCCCAAAGTCCCAATGAATTAAAGCCATAACCAAACTTTCAAATGGGTGCAAAATGTGGCATTTGCGTGGCATCATTTTGACCTCATAAAACAAGATATCCCATTTCTTTCTTCATTTTCTTTTCTCTTTAATATTTTTCTAAACTTGTTGGAACCTCCAATTTCTTTTACTCATCTACTTCTTCATACTCCAATGGTAATAACACACCTAAACGACTAAATGTGTGTGTGTATAGCTTTTGAAATAGTAGTGTTCAACAAAATAGTACAAAGCTACAACTTTTACCAACAAAATTAGCTCTTAGGTAATTGCTTTACTTATCTACTATAATACGTAGCAATTAATTGTACCAAACACCTTTATAAAAAACTTTATTGATAACTTCTAACACGAATTATACCCAATTTCACTAGCGGAATCCTAAATTGTACACCTATTTTTTATTTCCTACTAACTAATCATAAGCTTCAGAAAAGAATTTTACTAAGAAAAGCAAAATCAGAACACCAACAAAAGACTAAAAAAAAAAAGATGCATTTAAATTATCAGCCACACATTACACATCTAAGCTATAGTGTTTACAAGTCTATTGTGTAATGTTATTGTTCCTCACTTAGGGAGAAAATCATTAGCCACGTTCAGATAAAAAAATACACACAAACACAATCTTGTGTTTAACACACGATTCAAGAAAATACCATCATCCATATTTTCCTGCTAAAACACAGTACAATTATCCATACCTAAAAGAGTTGCACACTAGCTTATTAGAGGGGATAAACATATTCATGGTGGTACTGAGTTTCCAACCAGTTCAGTTTCGACCCAATATTGCTCACAGCAGTGTGCAGAGACATGGGAATGGCGGCAGGAATAATCGAATGGCGATTCGTTGGCCTCGGTGTGGGATAGCAGAACCAGCAGGACAGCCTGCTCCTATGGGACAGAAGACAAAGTACAAGGATGGGTTCTTTGAGAGGGTTTTCATGAATCTTTTTGCTAGGAAGATGGAGAAGTTTGCATCATCAAAGCGAAAACAGGAGACAGATGGATGGTTTAAGTATGATTACGAGAGTTTTGTGGATGTGTCGAAAAGAGTAATGCAGGGAAGGTCACGGCCGCAGCAGCAGGAAGTTGTTAGGGAAGTGTTGTTGTCTATGCTCCCTCCTGGTGCCCCTGCTCAGGTTTGTCTGTTCAGTTCCTTATCTTTTTCGTAATTTGGTTAGTTTGTGCTTATGATTGTGTTAGAAGTGTCATTTCTTCCTGGTGATCCTAGAGGACGGAACTCCTAAGTGATATAGAGGATTAATTTAATTAAACAGTTCAATCTCCTAATCGACCCTATGGAAAAAGTTACCCCTTAAATTCCCTTTAGCATTAGCTGAAATATGTACTGGAATCAAGACTAAGGAACTTCTGTATAATGTTTGCAGTTCAGAAAATTATTTCCACCAACAAAATGGGCAGCTGAGTTCAATGCAGCCCTAACAGTGCCTTTCTTCCATTGGCTTGTTGGACCTTCTGAGGTAATATGGTCCCTTATCTTGCTTGGCACTTGCCTCCCCTTCCCCTTCCCCCACCCCCGTCCCAAAAGATGGGAAATTTTAATGCTTGATAAGTTGATAGTCATGACATTCATATCATATGTTCTACTATAAACTAAGTTAGTAACACAAAATGCAATCCATACTATCAAGGTCAGGCAAGCAGTAAACATGTTATATCTAAAATTGCAGCTAAATTAAATAAATAGTTCAGAAATGAACCTGGCTTAGCAGAGAAGCATTTCTTCATTATCGAACTTGTAGTTGTTCATTGGACCATTGTCTAAATCAGCCACTGACAAATTTAGTCCACAAAACTGAAAAAAGAGACAACTAAATGCAGGATATAGGAATACTTGTAAAATAAACTAGTTAGTTCATGATCAATACTGTTGTTGCCTGTTTGGTCTTAGTAGGTAGTTCATGATCGAATAAAGTGGACTACTACGTTAATTGTTAAAACAACATGAATTCTTTGCTCTAGAGCTTAAAAGCATGTATGAATGTAGGTTATTGAAGTTGAAGTAAATGGAGTGAAACAAAGAAGCGGCGTGCTTATTAAAAAATGCAGGTAAGATGTATTAGATGTTGGTTATCTATCAGTAATATCTAAAGCGACCCCCAATTCATTTGGAGGAGATTTAACTACTCAGGCAGCCAGGCATTGCAACTGAATATCTTTCTCCATGTCTCACCAGGTACTTAGAGAACAGTGGCTGTGTTGGAATGTGTGTGAATATGTGCAAAATTCCAACTCAAGACTTCTTCACCAACGAATTCGGACTCCCTCTTACAATGAACCCAAGTATGTTTCTGCACTCTCTCAGGTTCTACACAACTGAAAAGTGAAAGGGGTTGATTTTCATTAATTAAGTGGTGGTTTGGTTGACATAAATATAAACCTAGTTCACGAGTTGTGAAAATCTCTATATTCATTTATTCAAAAAAAAGTATAAAACTTAAAATAAACTGTGACGAAAGTTGCTTACCTAGTCAACTAATCTCCCCTGAATAAGATTGTTCAAGTGTACAATTGTTGGCACTCCACCAATAAAAACTCTTTAGGAATTACAGCTCAGCTCCATGGGATGTCATACTTCTTCTTTTAACCAAACGACCACTAAGTGGTGGTCTAAACTATCTAATCTATCTTAATTTCACTAAACTGATAATCTCTCATCCAAAAGAAATACTCGGTTAAACTAGTTTGTGTACATGGTTTATAGTTCCTCAAGAATTCAAGATTGCCCTAGTAACATTATTAATGCTTAATTTTGATCAGAATTCGAAGATATGAGCTGTGAAATGGTTTATGGGCAAGTCCCACCACCATTCGAAGAAGATGAAGTCTCCAAACAGCCTTGTTATAATGATCTATGTAAGCACAGAGAATTTCGACTAAATATTCAATTGAACTAGAAATGCAGTTCTCTGTTTTCTAACTATTGGCTTATGAACACAGGCTCCATGGCGAATCCTAGCGCCAGCCTTTGTCCTAAATTGCTATCATAAGAGATGCCTACGCGATATCAGTGATTGTCTACTCACTGCTAGCCGGAACCAGAGCTATGTAACTATATACTGAGATGACACCAAACATTTATACATGTATAGATACAAATAAGTTCACTCTATATTGTCCACAAATTTTGTTCCTATGTGAACAATATTCATCCAATCTTAAGATCAACTTAAAGCGATGCTCGATATGTTTTACATAAATTTACTAGATAATAGGCATTAAGTTTCCCAAATTTGTAAACATATCATGTACAGACTGCAGAACATAGCTGCTCTAGGGAGCTGATTTTTCTGCATCAACTAAACAGCAGTATCTCTGGCTTCTGTAATCTAAGGCCAATTGAATCATGTTTTCGAGTTTTCAAGACATTAAGTGACAGCTTGTATCTGTATAATTCACAGAGTATGAATGAAATAAACTCTACTGAACTTGACAAGGCTCATAACATGAGGTTAACAGGTATAACTCCCATTGTCAACTTTATCCACAAATCATAGTATTTAAAAGTATAAAAGTATCTAATCAACTTTGAATTTTTAGTCATTTACTTGTACTTTACATCTTTGTAATGTACTTGAACATTATGCACATTAAAATGATCTTTCACATATATCTTCTTCATTGTGTCAAAATTAGCGGCCCGTATGCACAATTAGCGCAATGATGTGTAATTAAAAGGTAATTAAAGGAAAAGGTCAGTCAAGCATGTAAGAGGATGATGGTACCTGGTACGGAAATTCCTCAAATTGTTAACCAAATCTCCCTGGTAGCCTTCAAGAGCTGTAGTCCTATAGAGTTGTAGCTAAGTTTCATAACTAACCTACCCAAAGCTCTCATAAATCGCGAAATTCTTTTAAGGCCATCTTTTAGATGATCAAGGAAAGCTGATGGTTGAAATTGTCCAAAACCAAAACTACAAGTCTAGGATTATTTTTATTTACTAGAATTTCACAATCATCTTAAAGAAGACAAAATCACAAAAGGTGTCTTCGATCACAATTGATAGAACAATAATGTGCAATGCTATGCACCTTGCCCTATGTGCATAACACATACCACTGAATGTGATGAAAATAATTGGCGCTTCCATGTTTGAATGATGCACATACCGTGTGGCCCCTTATAAAAAAACAAAGTAATCCCTATAACACTAACCGAGTAACTCTTATACTACTAACGGAGTAACTCCTATAAACACTGACCAAGTAACCCTTTTTAAGTTATTATACTAACAAAGTAACTCTTATAATGACTGGCCACACGGTGTGGCCAACCACACATAAGAATTTGTGTCAATCTATATTTAGACATGTGAAATTTCTCTTCCAAAATAGCTTGATACTACATGTGACCACTACAAATTCAAGACAAAGGGTGTAATAGATAAAACCTAATAAAATTACATCTTATAACATCCATTTTAGCAAAAGGATCAATCTAAAACCACAAATCCAAACAGCAACATGATTAATTATCGTCCCGATAAATGAGACTAATGATTTATGTGATTCTTTAGTAGTGCATGGCTATGTTATGGTACAGTACAAATAGTTAAAATTTCATTAATTTTCCTATGCTAAGTCCTTTTCCTTAATTAAAGCCGTAAGTTAATGCTATTGGTACGCTATATATCAATTATCATGCCTAATTTGATACCCTTTTTAGGAATTAAGATGGTAATAGAGCAAAAACCCTTTTGACCCACATAACACCACAGTCAACGAATCAGCCTAACCCATATGCACCAATATTATGATTATCAGACAAAAATCTCCAAATTTGCAACAGACTCCAAATTATTTTTTAAACAAGTATAGAAAAATTGGTCACGTGAAATTTCAGTCCTCAACTGATACAAGTATAAAGTCCATGATCCAAAAGTTGAAACTAAACCTGGATCATTCTACCTTCTCCAATTGTACTAGCTTGTACTCCAACATAGCTAACATGTGATAAGAGTCTTTTAGTCCGTGACCAATTTCCTCAATTTAGGCACCTAACTATGCCTTAAATTCCTTGATTTGCCTCTTGTTACCTCTAATACTTAAAACATGGCCCATTGTAGCTTTCTTAACGTGCAAATATTGTCTAATTAACTTCCCCTCGTGCACAAGTAAGATAATCAGGTGACTGTTTGTAAATACATACTAATCATGTACACTAGATTTGAAATATTCAAAATAATTCTACACATATAAAACTTGTCCGTTTTGTAACATGACAACGTACGAGAATGAAATAGAGGGTATAAAGGGCCAAATTACAAAGGTATTACATACAGTCCATTTTGTGTTAGCTTACATAAACGTATTTATTTACCCTATTATTATACATTACTTATAAAGTGTGATATGATCTATCATAACACCGCCTACTTTATAAACTTCACAAAAAAAATTTAAATACGCTATGTGTTCATTTTTGAGCTACCAATACATAATTACTAGTACATTTCAAAAATTAATACAATATCTAAGTGGTTGTGTAACACCTTATTAAAAACATTCATAATCTAAAGAGATTGAATAGAAAAGGAAAGAGTATTTATGATGAAAACAAGGTGAAATCCAAGAAAGACAAGAAATTAAACAGTATCCAAAGACCTATTTGTCCTATTACTCCTATACTCATGTTCATTGGCCAACATTATTCTCCTTCTTTCTTCCTTGACCGTTATAATAAGGTGCAAATGGACCCCACATTAGACCATTCTATACCATATTGCGCAGTTGATCCCGTGACACCTTTGCAACCTTCTCTCTTAACGACCAACGAACTCTGCCTCACTGATTATAATTCCAGAACTTAAATTAATTACAGTAGTACCCCGTGATTCCTAATTATCCACTATAAATATTCAACCTTTTATACTAACCTTTCAACATATCTTCTCCTATCTTTTTCAACTAGTCTAAATCTCCTAAGTCCTAATGGCTAGAATTTCCTCCTTAACAGCCTTATTCCTCATTACAATTTGTTACATTAGTGTAACAACTAGTGCCTTCGCCCCTCGGGATTACTACGATGCACTCCAGAAATCGATCCTCTTTTTCGAGGGCCAGCGGTCAGGGCCGCTGCCACGTAGCCAGCGGCTTAATTGGAGGGGTGACTCTGGGTTGTCTGATGGATCTTCTTACCATGTAACTAATTTACTAGCATGATATTTTATCTACTGAGAAATGTTGGCATGGACCTATTAGTAACATTTTACGTTACTAATTATATTTCTTTTGTTCTGCATTTCAGGTGGACCTAGTAGGAGGTTATTATGATGCAGGGGATAATGTCAAGTTTGGCTTGCCTATGGCCTTCACTACGACAATGTTGGCGTGGAGTGTTATCGAGTTTGGAAGCTCGATGCATGACCAGGTTTCGAATGCTAAAGCTGCCGTTCGTTGGGGTTCTGATTATCTACTTAAGGCAGCAGCAACCCCTGGCACCTTATATGTTCAAGTGAGCAAAAATAATGAATTCTCTAGCTATTGTTGCTACATGTGTGAACATCATTAGAAGAAACTAATAAACGCAAAATCAAGCATGATAAATTGTTTTTTAAAACACGTTTACTTAACGTTAATCACGTTTTATCTCACATAAATGTCATTTTCATTAGTCACAATTCACAAACTAATGTTTGGAGCTGTTTTACTAAAAGAGGATAGCAACAGAAAAAGTTTGATGATAATTAATGCTAAAGACATGTTTAATAAGGCGTGTTTAAAAGTAGGAAACATAATTTCTCACCTAAAAGAACACTTTTCTAACACATAATTTGTAGGTGGGAGAACCAAACCTGGACCATCAGTGTTGGGAAAGGCCAGAGGACATGGACACGCCACGGAACGTATACAAGGTGTCCACACAAAATCCAGGATCTGATGTAGCAGCTGAAACTGCAGCTGCCCTGGCTGCAGCTTCGATTGTTTTCAAAGATTCCGATCCTTCGTACTCGAGCAAACTACTTCACACGGCTATTCAGGTAAACAGGCAAACTCAGAATGAACAACTTTCTGCTGAAACATAAAAATTGATCATTAGTTAAGAAGGCTAATTGAAAATCTTCAATGCTGCTGCAGGTGTTTGATTTTGCAGACAAGCATAGAGGCTCTTACAGTGATTCTCTGAACTCTGTAGTCTGCCCATTTTACTGCTCCTACTCAGGTTATCAGGTAAGTCATTCAACCATCTCTGCGCTTCATAGTCCTCAAAACACAGTCTGAAATTCTCATTTCTTGTCTACAGGATGAGCTCCTGTGGGGTGCAGCATGGATTCATAAGGCTTCCGGCGACTCCTCGTACTTGTCATACATTCAGTCCAATGGTCACATATTAGGTGCTGAAGAGGATGATTTCTCCTTTAGTTGGGATGATAAGAAAGCTGGCACCAAAGTCCTTCTTGCCAAGGTATATCTTAAACACATTTCACCTGTTTGAACCCAATTTAGAGGTGATATTATTACTCACTTAACATTGCTTCTTTTGACAGGACTTTCTGCAGGATAGAGTAGCAGATTTTCAGGTGTACAAAGCACACGCCGATAACTTCATATGCTCCTTTATACCAGGAGCAAATGATTATCAGGCCCAATACACCCCCGGTAAGCCACTAAGGAAGTGAATACGAATCCTGAATAATTCACATACTACGTTAATTACTTGGACTCACAATTTCACCTCAAGTGTTCTTGTCAAATCTTCGCCAATATGACATAGATATAGACATTTGACACTACATTTTGAACCAAACTCGTGTCTGACACTAGTACACGAGTCCAGTTCAAGTAACATAGTTAACACTTATTGATCTCATAGATGTCTCATACAATAAAATATTTGCAGGAGGGCTCTTGTTCAAACAAAGTGACAGCAATCTCCAATATGTCACAACAACATCATTCCTCTTATTAGCATATGCAAAGTACCTTGGCAAAAACGGAGACATAACCTCGTGTGGCTCCTCAATAATCACATCAAAGAAGCTAATCTCCGTAGCCAGGCAGCAAGTTGACTACATCTTGGGTGATAATCCGGCAAAAATGTCATACATGGTAGGATTTGGCAACAAATACCCACAACGTATCCATCATAGAGGTTCGTCCCTACCATCTGTACACACACACCCTAGTCGCATTGGTTGCAAGGACGGGTTCCAATACCTCAACTCCGGATCACCAAATCCAAATGTACTAGTCGGAGCTATATTAGGCGGTCCAGATTCCGGAGACCAGTTTTCAGACGACAGAAACAATTATAGACAATCTGAACCAGCAACTTATATCAATGCACCATTTGTTGGAGCTGCTGCTTTCTTCTCAGCATATAATGAAAGATACTAACATTAATACATTAACATAGATAATATAAGATTGGAATTAGTATGTATTTATGAACAAGATTGACCATTCCTTTAAAGAAAATGCAAGAAAAT